AAAAAACATATATATAAGCATTGCTGATCCCACAGCACATTATTAAACGTGTTCTGGTGATCCTTTTGGGTGGTCCTGAGGCTGGGCAGTGAAAGAGCCAATTGAGCTCCTTGGAGGCCCAGGCTACATCCTCATCCTAGTTAGAGCTCACCTGCTCACCCCAGGCCTGGGCAGTTGAGTTCAACTACAGGTGCCTTGGAAGAAAGGCACAGTCCTGTTCTGACACACGTGGGGTCACCGTGAATTAGACTGGCTTGGTGGTCACTGACTAGTCAGTATCAGGTTGGGGAGACCTCACTCCGAACTCAAAGCGCAGAGACAGGCATCGTAGAGTGAAGTAAGTAGGTAGTTTGGGTATACCCCAGTTTCTTGCCCTGGATCGAACCTGGCTTAATCTCAAGTATGTCTCGTTGGGCCCTGGCTTGTTAGGGTAGTTTATTCAGGGAAGTGAGCCCTCCTTGTGGAGTGTATTGATACCTGATTGGAGGCCCCTGGGAGAAGAAGTACCAGCGCTGAAGAGAGGGTAGCTTTCAGGCAGCCCAAGGCAGCAGAAAATTGAACGTGCACATCTGAGCAAAGACACATGTTGGACATCAAGAGAGGAAATTGTTAAGCAGTTTCTCATGTCTTTAATTATATGCCGATTTCATTGACATGAGAGCTGGGTGGCAGTGCCACCCAACAGAACTTAGTGTTTAATTTGCAGTGTAATAAGGATGGAATTATTACTGAGAGCGACTAAGCATAATGCCTGAATAATAATTTGGGGACTTAGAAAAAGAAGCCATTTTATTTGAGGGGAAACAGCCTTGTGAAGGAACCCTGAGAATTAGAGAATGTGGATTCGATTGCTAGCTGAGCATCAGCACCATGGTGCTTTTCTATACCCCAGCCATAAGGTATCATTTGGTTGATATTTAGTTCCATGTTTCTTAAGATTTTTTCCCCTCCAAACAAAATGCAATCCTATTGCTAAAACAGAAAGAATTATCATGCGATTTTGATAGGCTGATAGGTTGTCCACACCTCAGTTATTCTCCCCACAAAAGAGGGATAATAGTATTTGTTTGGGTCCCTGCTGTGACCATAAGAAGCCTATGTGCAATATAACAAAATACTGTACCATCATCATTGTTAACAACGATGTTAACATTGTTAATAATCATCATTGTTACTATGTTTAAATCCATTGTTGCAGCCATGATGTCTATCTAGCTTGTTGAGCATGTTCCTCTAGTACAATACCCTTCTTCAGGAACTGGTTCCACCTAATAACATGGCCAATGTGTTTAAGACGGAGACTCGACATTCTTACTTCTAAAGATTGTCCTGTACCTCTTCCAAGACAGATCCGTCCATTGTTCCGGTGGTCAATGGTGTAGTCAATATTCTTCGCCATACTTCCAATGTGTCATTTCATTGCTGGTCTTCCTTATTCATCGCCTGGTTCTCACATGCAGATGAAGTGATTGCAGATACTGTGGGTTGGGTCAGTGCTCCTTAGTCTCAAAGTGACACCATAACTTTGAATACTTTCAAGAGGTCTCTTCAGCTGATGTGACTGACACACTATGTCCTATGATTTTTTGACTGCCACTTCTGTGGGTGTTGATGTGGATCCCAGTCAAAATAAATCCTTGACAACGTCAGTCTTTTCTCCGTTTGTCATGATGTTGCTTACTATTCAGTGGTGAGGATTGTTATTTTCTTTATGTTAAGGTGTAATCCATTCTGAAGGCTGTAGTCTTCCTATTCTTGGCAATGTTATCCATACTTTCTTGGGATCCACACAATCAAATGCCTTTCATAATTAAAAAAAAAAAGGTTACCATATTTCTGGTATTCTTTGCTTTCAGCTAAGATCCATCTGACATCAGCAATGATAGCATTCCAATAATGATATCCTAATCCCACGCCCTCTTCTGTGCCCAGCTTAAACTTCTGGCAGTTCCATGTTGATGTACTGCCATGTATATAGAGCTCTTCCAGTCAGTTGGCCAGGTAGCTGTTTTCCAAATTTCATAGTATAGACAAGGAAGTGTTTCCCACACAACACCCATTTGCTGAAACATTTCAATTGGTATTCCTCCAATTCCTGAAGCCTTGTTTTTTCCCAATGCCTTCAGTGCAGCTTGGACTTCTTCTGTCAATACCCTAGGTTCTTGATCAGATGCTACCTCTTGAAATTGTTGAACATGCACAACTACCTTTCAATACAATGACTGTGTATTCCTTCCATCTTTTTTTGATGCGTCTTAAATTATTCATATTTTTTCCATAGAATCTTTCACTATGACAAACTTGAGAAATTTTTCTGTAGTTTTTTTTTTAGCTTGAAAATACTAAATGTATTCTTTCCTTTTGTTTTCTATCTCTGAGTTTTGTATGCTTCATTATGGTACTTTGTCCTCTCAGTCCTTTGAAACTTTTGGTTCAGCTCTTTAAGTCATCTTTTATCTCTCCTTTGCATCAGCTTCTGAACCTGCAAGGGCAAGCTTCACAGGCCTGATATCCATTGTTAAAAAATCGCTTCTGTCTTTTTAATGACCTTTTACTTTCTTTCTGTGTGATGTCCTGGATGTCATCCCACAACTCCTCTGGTCTTTGATTGTGAGTGTTCAGGGCTTCCAAAGGGTTCTTGAGGTTACCTTTTAGTTGGAGAGGGACAGACTCCAGGTTGGTTCCTGTGGACTTGTTTTCATTCTTCACCTTCAATTTGAACTTACATATAAGCAATTGGCTGTCTGTTCCACAGTCAGCCCTGGGCTTTGTTTTGGCTAATGATCATTGAGCGTCTCCATCTTGTCTTTCCAAAGATGTAGTTTATTTAATTCCTATATGCTCCATCTGGTGAGGTCCGCTTATGTATACAGTCATAATTTACGTTGTTGAGCAGAGGTTTTTGTAATGATTAACTTGCTGGTCTTGAAAAATTCTATTATATGACCTCTCATGTCATTTCTATCACCAAGATTCTATTTTCCAACTACCGATCTTTGTTTTCCAGTTTTGCTTCCCAATCACCTGTCATTATCAATATGTCTTCACTGCATGTTTGATCAATTTTAGACTGTCGGAGTTAGTAAAAAAAAAAAACCAACAACCCTCAGTTTCTTCATCTTTGGACTTAGTGGCTGACACATTAATGTGAATCCTAATCATATTAACTGGCCTTCCTTGCAGGTGTATATCTTTTACCCATCAGTGGCAGCCCTGTATTTCAGGCTCCCTCTTGAAATGTTTTTTGATGCTCAGAGGGGCATTGTTTCTCTTCATCATTCCCAGCCTAGTAGGCCAGGTGAGTGTCTGCTTCCATGTGTCTAGTGCCAGCCCACTCCAGCTCACTGTTACCTAGGACATTGAACAAGGGTTCCCTTTCATTTCTGACAACTTCTACTTTTTCCTGATGCAAACTGATTTTGTACATTCCACAGTCTGATTATTCATGGATATTTACAGCTGTTTCTTCTCATTTTGCATTGTGCTGCATCAATGAATGCAGGTCCCCAAAGCTTTGTTCCCTCTGTATTATTAAGGTTGACTCTACTTTGAAGCGGCAACTCTTCTTCCCAAGCGTTCATACTGTGAGCACTTCCCAACCTGAGGGGCTCATTTTCTGGCACAAAATCAGATACTAATTTGCTGGTTCTCATAAAGTTTTCACTGGACAAATTTTTCAGGAGTCCGTACCATCAGGTCCTTCCACCTAGTCTGTCTTAGTCTGGATGCTCTGCTGGGACCTGTCTGTCATGGTGACCCTGCTGGTGTTTGACACACTGGTGGTTTAGTTGTCAACCTCACAGCAGTACACAGTCCTGCTCAGAGGACAAGTGGAAAGATCATATGTAATCAAGCAGCCCAGATCTGGAAATGATCCTGGCTCTGCTGTCTTCAAGTGTAAGATAGTAATCATCACTAGCCACAGACTCTGACCTTCCTTTCCCGGCTTCTCCCATTCCAGATATCCCACCCAACCCTGCCGCTTCGGAAAACTCCTGTTGCTCCTGCCAGCTTTACGTTCTATCAGTCCATCAACCATAGAAGAAGTGTTTTTCAAAAAAACCATCGGCAACGTGCCCATTACAAGACTGCTTTCAGATATGTACAAATCCAGTGACATCTAAGCTCTCCAAGTCCCCACTTCTCAGGATGGGACAGTATCAGATGAAAGACTTTCACCCATGGAAAATTTGCCTCAACTAACAAAACTCTTCAGGAAGCATAAGCCTTGGAATGCGTAGCTTTCAGGAAAAAAGAAAAAAAGGTTAATCAACACAAACCAAGCCCAGTAGCTCTGACCTGCTGCTTCCACCAGGAGAGGGTTAGCCCAGAAGAAGGTGTCAAGGGACTGCTTGAGCAGAGACCCCCAGCTGCCAAGGGCTGGAGTCAGGGTTGTCACGGCCTTACCATTGTGCTTCTGCCCTGGAAGACAGGGCGGAGCTACCAAAACGGAAACACAACGCAAGTTTGCCTCTCTTTCCTGGTCTTTCCCATCGAGGATGCAGACAGCACTCCGTTGAACCACATCATGCAGTGGCCTTCAGAGCGATCTCCTGCAGGAGCGTTTATTCTCCAAGGAACGGTTAGGCCTTCATTCATTTTATCACAAGTTTCCATTCTATTGTCACACATCATGAAGTGGCCTTTGGAACTGAAAAGTAGCTTGTGCTGTAATTGGCTTTTCCTCTGTCTTCTTTCTCCTTTTTTCCTTTTCTTCTTCTTTTTAATACCATGGGCCAGGCAATTGGTGGATGAAAATGAGATTCTCACCAGGACTTCAAATTGGATAACATCTTATTAAAAAAAAAAAAAGACGAGAAGAGCTTTACTAAAAGAACAGTTGAGAATAGAGGAATAAAAACAGCAAAACCAAATAGCTTGGGGACGAGTGGTTGAGTGAGGCATATTGCTGTCCCGTAAACCTAGTGCTGAAACCAAAGGCAATGGGGGTCTAAATGCGTGGTTCGGCAGGTCACACCAGACAGCGGATGGACGGTGTCGTGCCAGAAGGGCCTTTAAAGAGATGAACACTAGAAGGTTTCTTGATTGGTCTGTTGCCAACAGTCTGAGACTCTTCAATGCCTTTCAGAAAACTCTGGTTTCTAGTAAAGCCTTGGTCACATGTACATGCGTGTACACAGCACACACAAACACAGACATACACTATCCTACACTGTAAGCTGCTCCTTTGGTATGAGTCGATACTTATGGAAATGTAGAAACAAACACTTAATAATAGCTGCTGTCCTTTTCACATTTTGATTCATTAGGTACTAGCACCAAGGGGGGGAAATCAGCACTTGGACTATCATAGGATGAATAAAACTTTTCTTGTATAAAGTGAATTAACGGATTTGTGAAGTTAAAAAGTTGTACTCATTGTATTTACAAAGAATAAAAATATATTGAATTTAAATGAGCGTTGCCTGATTTCTTCACCCACCTTCTTGGCCGACCTCACCCACCAGTTACAAGGTGGCAGCAGCAGCTGCTGCTCCGTCTGAAGCTCTGAGCCCTCCCACTCAGAGCCTGAAGAACCAAACTACAAAGGCAATTTCCTTTTACAGTGAGTCCCATTTGTAAAATGATGAAGAAAGAAATAAAACATAAGATCCCATTGCTCGACAGCTCTCAAATGTAATTGCATCTGTTAGAAAAAATTGCTGTGTGAGGAAGAAAGAGGCCAATTAACAGAGTCTTCATTCACTTCTCTGTTTCTAACTCTCTTGCCAACATTTCAGTCCTGACCAGGAACCTGAAATCCTTTAATGATCAGAAAAATAAAGCAGGAACTATTTTGATGAGGAAGAAGCAGAAGAAAGGGCATCCAGATGTTCTCCGGGAGTCACAGGGCAGCAGCCCCATGGTCGGAGGCAGGTGGTGGAGATCAAAGGTACCAAATGCCTTGGGGACTATGAGCTCCTCCTGGTTGCAGCTCCTGCAAGGACCTGGGCCAGAGACACAGGCAACTCTTGGCGAACATAACCATGCAGATTGTCTGTGTAAACCTTTAGTCAACCATGCAATCCTTATCCACAGGAAATGAGAAGGTAGTCTTAAAGAAAAGTGAGATACTGCAAGATGTAACCAGAATGTTCATGGCAGTGCCTTCAGAGTTAATAACGTAAATGTCTACCAACAGAGAATGGATAAATTGTGTGTATCTACAAAGTTTACCAGTAGTTAGAGTGAATGGACTAGAGCCAGTGAATCAACATGGGTAAATCTGCAATGGGATTGTGTGTGTGTGTGTGTGTGTGGTGTCAAACTGCAGTGAACATTGTTTGCTACCATCTATATAAAGTTCTATAAGGCACTGGGAACATTGGTGGCATAGTGGGTTATACATTACGTTGCTAACTTCAAGCTCAGCAGTTTGAATCTATGTGCTGCTCCTCAGAAGAAGGATGAGGCTTTCTGTTCTCTTAAAAGATTTATAAATTTGGAAACCCAAACTTGTCCTGTAGGATCTACTGTGAGTCAGTAGACCTTAGACCAGGGGTCCTCAAACTTTTTAAATGGGGCCAGTTCACTGTCCCTCAGACCCGTTGGAGGGCTGGACTATAGTTTAAAAAAAAAAACTCTGAACAAATTCCTATGCACACTGCACATATCTTATTTTGAAGTAAAAAAAACAAACAGGGCAAAAACATCCTATGGGACGGATAAATGTGCTCGGCGGGCCACATGTGGCCTGCGGGCCGTAGTTTTAGGATGCCTGGGCCTAGACCCTACTGCATTCTACTCTGTCCCTTTGGGTTACCGAGTCAGAATTGATTCTGACAGTGTTTGGTGGCTAAGGGGTAGAATTCTCACCTTGTGCTGTGGAGCTCTGGGTTTGATTCCTAGCCAATACACCTCCTGCACAGTTACCACTCACCTGTCAGTGGAGGCTTGTGTGTTGCTCCAGTGGGCAGCTTTAATGGACATGGATTCTGTTTCTTGAAGTAGGACGCTAGCAGTCTGAATTCAGGGTGCCAGTGCGAAGTAGACTTTCTCTGTCAGTTTTGAGAAAAGAAGCCTTGTCTCAGCTTCTCCAGCATGCTGCTTCTTATTCCTGGAAGACCTCCATGTGGTATCCCTCTTCTTCCCACTCGGGCCTCCTCCCTTCTGTGCCCAATCTGCTCTTTGATATTTCCAAAGTGATTGGTTTAAATACCCCCTTCACTGATATGGATTCATCAACATAACAAAGACGCTCTATTCCCAATTGAGATTCTATCCATATGGATAGAAAACTCACTGCCATCGAGTTGATTCAGACTCATCATGACCTTAAAGGACAGGGTAGAGCTGCCTCTGTGGGTTTCCCAGACTGTAACTTTGGAGTGACTGGTGGTTTTGAACTGCTGACCTTGTGGTTAGCAGCCCAGTGTGTAACCATTACACCACCAGAGTTCAGTCTAGGGATTAGGATTTATAGCACATATTCTGCTGAGAGGCAATTGAGCCCATAAGCATGTTCAATAGATCACATCACCTTTGCTCACTTTCTCCTGGCTAAAAGGATACAGACCAACCCCAATGTCAAGGGAGTGAGAAAGTGGACTTGTTCCTTGGAGGTAACAGTGATGGTGATGTAGGGGACTATTCCCTGAAGTATCATGAAATTCATCACAATCATAATCTGTTTAGGATATTATAACAAAATGACAAGCCATTAAGATTCCCATGACAAGCGCCGTATTACTGTTTCCCCCTGGAATTGCCTGTGCTGTTGGTGTCTCTGCCACTATGAAAGTTGGAGTCAAACCCAACTTTCAACCCTGGAAAAAGCCCAGGCTTTAAAACTCGGTGGTGATCTCCCCTGAGATTCTGAGCTCCCTGCTGAATGAAGACTCAGGATGAACTTCTTGGATTACTGTGAGGACCTCACTGCTTGCCTGGGTTTTAAGGCTAAAATCCTTTATGGCTGGTGTTGGGGGTGGTGGGAGATTCCAAAGCAGACTTTGAATATACACAAAGAAGAGAAGAAGAGCCAGTTACTGCAGTCAAAAACAATCTTTAGGTCTTCTCCTTGGACAAAAAAATTTTTTTTCTTTAAATCTAGAAAGGTAATTAAAAATATAGAGAGATTTTCTTTCTTAAAATAAAAATCTATTCAGAAAAACCATAACCAAACGCAACAGATTTTACATGTACAGTTCAGTTACATTGCTTATACTCTTCAAGTGGAACACAAACTCTCTCTTTTCCCAAATAGTCCACTACCATTAAGATGCACTCACTGCTCCCTAAGCATCTCATCGAACCTTTCAAGTTCCTGTTGTCAATTGGATGCCATATTGATAATTCCTTAAAAGAGTACAGTGGTCAAGATACACATCCCTTACTTCTTAAAGTAGACTATCTTTGGTTTCAAATGACCTCAGGGTTTTAGCTTCAGTTTTAAAGATTATCTCAGAGCAGGGTTTCAGGAGTCATCCAGCCTCAGTGGCCCCACGAAGCCTGAATCCCATGAGACTTTGGAATTCTGTTTGTAAAATCTCTTCCTGCGACTTAGGATTCTTCTATTGACTCTTTGATCAAAATGTTCTGTCATGGTTAACAGCGCGCCATCTAGTTCTTCTGAACTCAAGGCAAAGGAGGCCGTTGTTCATGGAGATAATGAGACTGTCGCAGGTTCCAGTTCCTCCTTCTAGTCCTGGGTCTCCTGGGGAGGCACCTTTTTGAGAGGACTGTTTATATACTCTGATGACCTCCGTTTGGTTTGAATTACTTTTAGTTATTCTTAGACACAAATGAAGAGAAAGAATGGGATGAATTTAGGAAGTGAATTGAGACTCACATATGACTTCACTTATAGTTCAAGGTTTATAACCCAATCTAGAAGCCTAATAACTGAACCCCTTGGCTCAGTGGTTGACTCTCTTAATAAAAATGGAAATATTTTATTTTTCTAGTTTATTTTTTTATGTGCATGACATCTCTCTTGCTGAGTGCATAGGGATCTACCTCCACCCCACCCCACCCACCACTTTTTTTTTACATCTATCATTGTATGCATGGTTTATCCAACCAATTTCTTCTTCATGGACTTGGGTTGCTTACATTCCCCTCCTCCATAGTAAACTAAACTGTCATGAGCTATCTTTCTATGGCTACTTCTGGGAACTTGGGAGAGTATTTCTGTAGAATAAATTCTTAAAAGTGGAGTTTCTGGGTCAAAGATTATATGCATTTTTAATTTTGATGGATACTGCCAAATGGCTCTTTATAAGGGTTTTTATCAATTTGCACTCCTGCCAAGAGGGTATGAGAGGGCCCATTTCATTGCTCAGAATTTAAAAGTGCTTAATCAGACACTGGCTTGATGAACACTTCAGAAGCTGTTAGAAAAATACAGAGAATGCATATATTTC